CAGCAAAACGGCAGCCCCCACGAACGACAAGGCAAACTTGAAGACCAGCTCCTCCATAATCGACAGCAGAATCGTATACATCATCGTCTTCATCGTGCGCGCACCGTACAGGCGGACCCGGTTTCGCACCTTTTCGTGCATCAGTTGCGTCGAGCCTTGCTTCGCGTCGTGGCGCATCACCATGCTGGCCGGACAAAGGAGCCGCATGGGGGAAACGGCCCGGGACATAATCCCCAAGTACTTTTCGAAGGCCCTTCGGCCAAACCGCTGCTTCCCCAACGCCCACACCCGGGAATCCAGCAAGGTTTCCAGGACCAGGCTGTTCATGTGCGAGATGGAGTACACGTTCTGTTTCTTTAACACATGCGAGATCGCTAGCCAAGTGACTGTATGCATTGCAAATATGTCTGGGTCTGGAACTCTGCAACTTGTCATGCTAACACTGAATCATGCAAAAATCTGTGTTGCACGATTACCAAATGCTGTCCACTTTTGACCTAACCGACAGGCAGTTTCTCATGCAGGATAGGCATGGTAGAACTCTCACAGAATCTGTCATGCTATGTCCTACATATCAGACCTTATGGGCCATGGAAAACCTGCATGACAAGTTCGGCATTCTTTCACACCCAGACATATTTGCAATTCATAGGCTGGCTCCGCGCGGCGGACCCCAGTGGTCTCGTCAAAGGTTGCCTCCGCGTATGAACTGCAAAAGTATCGTACTCGTATAAATGCATCACAAATTGGCTTAGCATTACAAATTGAATTTGTAATGCGGATTTGCCTTGAAAAAAAGATTACTATCTAAACTGCAGCAGCTGGTCAAAAATGCATGCGAGGGGTATGTTCGGGGGTGTGTTCGGGGGTGTGTCAGGGGTATGCAAATGCTCCTCAATCACGGGCGGACTACAATATTTTGCCGAAAAGCCAACAGGTGGGGTATAAACATACCCCAGACACACCCCAGACACACCCCAGACATACCCCAGACAGACCCCCGAACATACCCCAGGCATAAAGTCCGAACATACCCCAGACACACCCCGGACACACCCCGGGCAGACTTTCGGACACACCCCGGGCAGACTTTCGGACACACCCCGGCCAAACTTTCGGACTTTGTCGTATGAGGTTTGGGCCCGACGTCCAGTCTGCCACGCGAGACCGTGCGGCCAAGGGGCGAAAGCCCTAGGCCAGCGCGGGGACTCGGTCCCCGCGTCATGGCCTAGGGGCCACCTGTGGGCGCTTCCGTCCCGGACACCGTGCGGTCAAGGGGCGGAAGTCCTAGGCCAGCGCGGGGACTCGGTCCCCGCGTCATGGCCTAGGGGCCAGCTGTTGGCGTTTCCCGGACACGGCGTGGCCAAGGGGGGGGCGAAAGCCCTAGGCCAGCGCGGGGACTCGGTCCCCGCGTCATGGCCTAGGGGCCAGCTTTGGGCGTTTCCCGGACACCGTGCGGCCAAGGGGCGAAAGCCCTAGGCCAGCGCGGGGACTCGGTCCCCGCGTCATGGCCTAGGGGCCAGCTTTGAGCGCTTCCCGGACGCCGTGCGGCCAAGGGGCGAACGTCCTAGGCCAGCGCGGGGACTCGGTCCCCGCGTCATGGCCTAGGGGCCAGCTGTTGGCGTTTCCCGGACACGATGTGGCCAAGGGGCGAAAATCCTAGGCCAGCGCGGGGACTCGGCCCCCGCGTTATGGCCTAGGGCCCAGCTGTGGGCGTTTCCCGGACATCTTGCGGCCAAGGGGCGAAAGCCCTAGGCCAGCGCGGGGACTCGGTCCCCGCGTCATGGCCTGGGGGCCAGCTCTGACTGAGCGCTTCCCGGACACCGTGCAACCAAGGGGCGAAAGCCCTAGGCCAGCGCGGGGACTCGGTCCCCGCGTCATGGCCTAGGGGCCACCTTTTGGCGCTTCCCTCCCGGACACCGTGCGGCCAAGAGGCGGAAGTCCTAGGCCAGCGCGGGGACTCGGTCCCCGCGTCATGGCCTAGGGGCCAGCTTTTGGCGTTACCCGGACACGGCTTGGCCAAGGGGGGGGCGAAAGTAAGCCCTAGGCCAGCGCGGGGACTCGGTCCCCGCGTCATGGCCTAGGGGCAAGCTTTGGGCGCTTCCCGGGCACCGTGCGGCCAAGGGGCGAAAGCACTAGGCCAGCGCGGGGACTCGGTCCCCGCGTCATGGCCTAGGGGCCAGCTGTGAGCGCTTCCCGGGCGCCGTGCGGCCAAGGGGCGATCGAACGTCCTAGGCCAGCGCGGGGACTCTGTCCCCGCGTCATGGCCTAGGGGCCAGCTGTTGGCGTTTCCCGGACACGATGTGGCCAAGGGGCGAAAGCCCTAGGCCAGCGCGGGGACTCGGTCCCCGCGTCATGGCCTAGGGGCCAGCTGTGGGCGTTTCCCGGACATCTTGTGGCCAAGGGGCGAAAGCCCTAGGCCAGCGCGGGGACTCGGTCCCCGCGTCATGGCCTAGGGGCCAGGTCTGACTGAGCGCTTCCCGGACACCGTGCGGCCAAGGGGCGAAAGCCCTAGGCCAGCGCGGGCACTCGGTCCCCGCGTCATGGCCTAGGGGCCAGCTGTGACTGAGCGCGTCCCGGACACCGTGCGACCAAGGGGCGAAAGCCGTAGGCCAGCGCGGGGGCCCGTTCCCTGCGCCATGGCCTAGGGGCTAGCAAGCTTGGAGGCAGCACTCCCCGTGAATCCGTGTGGCCAAGGGGCGAAAGCCCTCGGCCAGCGCGGGGACCCGGTTCCCGCGTCATGGCCTAGGGGCCAGCTGTGCGCGCTTCCATCCTTCCCGGACACCGCGCGGCCAAGGGCGGGGCGAAACCCCTAGGGCAACGCGGGGACTCGGTCCCCGCGCAACGGCCTAGGGGCTAGCTCGCAGCACTTCTCGTGGCCCCGTGTGGCCAAAGGGCGAAAGCCCTGCCTAGGCCAGCGCGCGCGGCCGGGGACTCTGTCCCCGCGTCATTGCCTAGGGGCCAGCTGCGGGCGCTTCCCGGACACCTTGCGGCCAAGGGGCGAAAGCCCTAGGCCAGCGCGGGGACTCGGTCCCCGCGCCATTCGGTCGGAGGGCCCGGGGCGGTTGGGCCTGCTAAATTCGCGCTATTTTTTGTCTTATTTTTTCAAAGTGCCAAGCCAGAACCCTTCCCAAGGAACGGCGCTAGGGCGGCAACAGAGGCGCCCGGCGGGGGCGCGGTGGGGCGCCGGGTTTCGGTACTGGGTGCGCAACACAAGGAACGACACACCCCGCGGCCCGAGCCAGATAACCCACTGCCGCGGCCCCAAAATCAAAGGAGCCGGCTCGCCCCTTTTTCATTAAGGAGCCACGCCCCCGATGCAAAACCTTAGCCGGCATTCTTTCGGCCATTGCAGAGAACACGACCGCGAGGTCCCGAATACACGGCAAATTTTAGGACCTGCTAAAATGCCTGCTATTTTTGCTGCTAAATATGCTGCTATTTTTGGGGTGCTAAATATCCTGCTAAAAAACCTGCTAAATTTGGGTGCTAAAAATCCCTGCTAAAAATCCTGCTAAATTTGGGTGCTAAAAATGCCTGCTAAAAACCCTGCTAAATTTCTGCTGGAGAAGGGCGGCGGTACGGTCCGCGAAGGGCCCGGGACCTTCCGCAAAACCTGCGAAAACGCAAAATCCTTCCCAAAACGCCTGTGGTCCGGATTTAGCGGCCGTTTTAGCAGTTCGCGAAGGATGCGACAATGGTTGTGCCCGGACCTTTTGCGCGACTCTGGTCGCGCGCCTTCTGCTAACCAAAGGGCCGAAACATCCCCGGCGCCGGGACCCAAAAAATACCCGGGGCAGAGCAACCTCCTACCGACATCGGGCACCCATCGGGCCCGAGCCGGGAAAGACACGGGGGGCCGCGCTCGCCAGGCCGCCCGCCGGCGTGATGCTTGCCAAGGCCGGGCGCCCCGGTGGCCCACAAAGGAAACGGACAACGCAAGGAATTCGCGGCTGCGGAAAATCAGCGAAACCCGAAAACCAACGCGGCCCCGCGCGAAGCCTCTCGGGGGCGGAGGGGAGGCGGCCCGAGAGCGCGCGAAATATTACGCGGGCCCCCTGCGCGCAGCTACCGGGGCGGGGCAGGCAACCACCCGCCACCAATGCCCAAACGGGGCCGGCTTGGAAAAGGCGGCGCCCTTCATCACGCGCCGGCTTCCGGGTTTTTTAAAAATCGCGCAAAATTTAGCAATTTTTTAGCGCCCAAAATGGCCCCGGGGCCCTCCGACTGACGCCATGGCCTAGGGGCCAGCTAGCTGCGAGCGCTCCCCGGCGACACCGTGCGGCCAAGTTAGGGGCGAAAGCCCTAGGCCAGCGCGGGGACTCGGTCCCCGCGCCATGGCCTAGGGGCCAGCTGTGAGCGTTTCCTGGGCACCGTGCGGCCAAGGGGCGAAAGCCCTAGGCCAGCGCGGGGACTCGGTCCCCGCGTCATGGCTAGGGGCTAGCTGCGAAGGAACACTCCCCGGACACCACACCGCGCGGCCAAGGATGGAAGGGGCAGAGAAAAGCCCTAGGGCAGTGCGGGGACTCCGTCGCCGCGTCATGACCTGGGGGCCGGCTCCAGACCCGGCGCGCGCCAGTTTCTTCGTTTCTTACTTTTATCTTTGCGCGCGGCAGGCTAATGAACCTAGTGCGCGCAAGCAAGGGGGCCGCGTCCGCAGGCCCGTCGCGGGTCAGTGAGTGCAAGGCGCACCGAGATACCTAGCTGCAGGCGACCTGCCTGCCCAGTGCCACCGCGCGGACAAATGCCGGAACGAAGGTCGCCGCACGGGGACCACTCTGTCCCCGTGCTCGGACCTTGTTTGTAATGCATAAACGCAATTAGTAAGAGCACGATACTTTTGCACAGGATACCGCGCCCACATTGGCAATGGCCGACATGCAGATTGGGAACAGCATGTCCTGGTCAAAGCTGCAGTGCACCGTCCCCTGGTCGCAGACCGAGTACAGATCTCGGTACGTGAGGCACTCCTCGACCGCGAATCTCGGTTTCTTTTTCTTCTTCTTTTTGTTTTTCCCACGACCTTGAGAAGAAGATGATCTTCTAGATCTACTTGCTCTAGTAGTACCAGATCCAGACGATCCCTCCTGGAGAAAGCTTTTCGTCTTTTTGCTTCTGCCGAGCATCTCTCTTCTCTCGTTGTACGACAAGTAGCACTTCTCCGCCGAGAAAACTGCATCGTCTTGTTCGTCGTCCTCCTCTTCCTCGGTGCTGCTACTATCTGAGTCGCTGCCGACGTCCTTTTCGCTTCTCTTCGTGACGACAGTAACCGGCTGGACGGCATGCTCGAGCCCTGTAGAAGTACTCGTTTGGTTAGTCGCGGCGGCAATTTCTTCTGCTTCATCCTGCTCTTTATTTTCACCTGTAATACTCCTAGAGGTTCTACTACTTCCTGCTTGCTTTTCGTCTGCCAGGTCCTGCTATGACAGTGCACAACTCCCCCTCCCCATCATTTGTTTAGCATAAAAGGCAATACAAGCATCAGCAAGAGTGCCGGATTTGCATCACAAATTTGCACTGGAGTGTAGTGCGATCTGGGCTACCAGGACTTGCCATGCAAACAGTGCCAAGAGGCAATGGGTGGATTGGGTATTTTGCATGACAAATGAGGGGGAGGGCGAGTTGTGCACTTTCATACCTGCTCCGCTTGCTCCTCTGCGGCCGCGTTGTCATCCATCATGTGCTATCAACTGCAAAAGTGTCTGGGTCTGGAAGCTTGCCAGGTTTGTCATGCATATTTTGTATGACCCTTGATGTCTGTGATGCATGCTCCAGCATGACAGATTTTTAGAGGGCTTTGTGATGCCTCTACCGCATGAAAAATGCCCTCTCCACCGCGTAGCATATGTGGCGTCCTCTTGCTGGTCATGCAATGCAAATTTTTTTAGAATCCAGAGACAGCATCACAAGTTTAGAATCTTCCAGACCCAGACATATTTGCAGTTGATATGTGCGTCTGCACGTATTTTTTCGTGGCTTTTTCTGCGGCGACGTCGTCCTCGCGAAAAAGGGTTTTCGCATCCTGAGTAAAGACGTCCCCATTTTTTCACACTTAAGTTGGGAAGTCTGCAACACAAATCCTGAAGTTTTAGGTCTCACGCATGACAAGTTTTTCGCTCTTGAATTGCAGTGCAGGTTACGAAGGACAGCCGCATCACAAAAGGATCTCCTCATGCTGTTTAGAGCATCACAGGCGCGAATGCGATACATCGCACGATGGAAAATCAGCCTCTCAACAACATGGGGATGCGCATTACAAGTGTTCTTGTCATTGCAAATTTGCATGACAAGTGCAACTCTGGGGACGATGTGGGGACGTTTTTGTTCAGCATATTTCGTCAGTTCTTGATTCAGCCGGTCTTCCTGCACCTGTGCGTCCTTCTGGTGCGCGAGCTGCCAACTATGAAGCATGCTCCGGTGAATAAACGGATTCATGTCCCGAATCGCGGAGTAGAGTAGCATATCCTGTGCTAAAGTATCGTAATCGTTCGTAGTTCAATTGCAATCATGCTGCATGACAGATCTTTTTCTTAGGCTAAATCCGCATCACAAATTTTATTTCTCATACTGGGAGATAAATTTGTAATGCATTTATACGAGTACAATACTTTTTCTTTTGCAATCCATATAGCAGCCGATTTCTTTCCTTGGCCGGCAACCCGTGCCGCTGCTTTGCGAAGGGAACAACAACAGCCCGTTTAGAAGTACTATCCTGACGTCCTCTTTTTTTCCTCCCAGTAGAAGCGCTGGTCGTCGTCCTCGAAGATGTGTTTGATGTTTGGTTGGTCGCAGGAACAGCAACAGTACTGCTGAAAATGATTCCGCTTTTGTCGATAAAACCATCTGGATGTCCACCCATTTCTTCCCCCGGCGCAGCACCAGAAGCATGTTCCGGAGGACCAATATGACAGTGCACAACTCCCCATTCATCCCCTTATTTGTAATTTGCAAAACCCCAAATCGTCCAAGTGCTTCCCTGTGACACTGTTTGCATGACAGATCACTCCACCGGAGGGAGCCCAAACAATACTAGTTACACTAGGCGCATGAATTTGCCATGCACAGGCTTCACGTGTGGTGGTGTTTGTATTGCTGTTCATGCAATCATATTGCAATGTAAAATCAAAAATGAAGGTTAAGTAGATCACTGTAGCCGGAGCGAACTGCGTAAATTATGTCGGGGGGGGAGAGTTGTGCACTCTGATATCCAATGCCTTCGTCGGACAAGGCGTCCTGGTTGGTGCTCTGGTCGTACAGGGGCGACAAAGTGTTCTTGCTTTTGAATTTCTCGTAGTACGGTAGCATGCCGGCGATCCAGTTCAAGTTCAGCGTTTTGCTCTGCAGGCGCGTGTATGCATTGCAAATATGTCTGGGTCTGGAAACTTGTGATGCAAGGAAGGGAATAAGGAACACACTTTAATGCGCTGCCAAGCATGACAAGTTTTTCCGTGGTTTTGAGTTGCGTACTCCGCATGAGAAACTGCGTTTTTGCATGACAGACACGAGGAGATCTTTTCGGTGACGCAACACAAAGTTCAGAGTCATGCCAGACTGGCATGACAAACCTCGCAACTTCCCAGACCCAGACATATTTGCACTGGATAGCGTGTGGTGGTGCACCGAAACGCATTTGCCGTCGTCGTAGAGCTATAATGTGCAAACGCACTGCACTCGTACTAATTGCAAATATGCATGACAAACACAAATCTTCTTCCCAAGGTATCTATAACAGCATTACAAATTGCATTTGTCATGCTGAGAAAACTTGTAATGCAATTTACGCTAGTACGGTGCTTTTGCATTGCATAAGAGCCAAGAGATCTTGTTGTTGCGCCGCTCCCTATACTCATCCAGCGCGACATAGGCGTCAAGTGGGGTGCGGAACACAAACTCGCACACGCGGCGGTATGTATTGTAGTCCTGTCCGGACTGGTATTCTTCCCGCGAACTGAGGTACGTGCTGCTGGTGCCGAGCGGGTTAGAGGAGGTGCCGGCCATCTCACCCGGATACAACTTTTTTCCCCCCTGCAGCTGTGGCCCCTGCTTTCGTTTTTGCAGTTCGTTCCAATACTCCTCCTCTTCGTCCCCTACGTCATAGTTTAGAAAGCAGCAGTGTGTGATCAGTGTGTGCACGCAGTAGTCATCTACAGCATCGAAACACTTTGTCCAGCAGCTCGGTTTCGGATCACACTCGTCCTCGCACCAGGGGATTTGCGTGTCGAAGAGCCCTATGCCGTGCAAAAGTACTCGTATTCTTGCAATCAGGCATTACAAATTTTTTTTTAAAGGTAAATCCGCATTACAAATTTTATTTCTCATGCTGAAGAAATTTGTAATGCATTTATACGAGTACGATACTTTTGCAATGCATAAGCCCCTGCAGCGCCTCGCTGTCCAACAATTGTTGGAACTTCAGGAGCGTATGGGGGTGTCAGGATCGAAATCGTCAAAGTTGAAATAGTTTGCCATGCTTAAAACCGATACCCGTAGGATGCCCACTTATCAAGCGGCGCATGACAATTTTTTCGATCACCGGAATCCAATTTGTCATGCTGTTTGGGCACACAAGACTGCTTCTGTCATGCTCCTTTCGCAGCTCTATCTCAAACCCTAAACAGGCTCACAATCGGCCTCACTTGTCATCCTGGCAAGACAGGCACTTGATGCCTTCCATGTTATGCATGGCAAATCATTTCAACTTTGTCGATTTCAAACCTGACGCTTCCATAGAGCGCACTGCTGGTGTATCCCTGCGTGCCCTATCCACAGTAAATTTCCCGTACACGTACAAATGCAGTCTCTGCATGACAAAACTCGCCTTCAATCCTAGTCTAGCATGACAAGTTGGACACTGCAAGTTTAGCGAAATTTGTCATGCATTTTGTACATGTACGGGAAATTTACATTGCATATGCCCTGCTTCAAGCCCTGCTGCATGGCGGCCAGTTTGTCCGCAAGAAAGCTGAAGTTGCCGCTTTGCAGCACGTATGCATTGCAAATATTTCTGGGTCTGGACGAAGGATGCAACTTGTGATGCTCCCTTTGGATTCTACAAAAATCTGCATTGCATGAACAGCACTGTAGGTCCAGTTTTTCCCATGGCGAGAGGGCATTTCTCATGCGGTATAGGCTTGAGGAAGCCCCCCCTCGCAAGATCTGTGGCGCTGGGGCATGCATCACAGACATCAGGAGTCATGTAAAATGTGCATGACAAATAAACTTGCATCTTCCTTCCAGACCCAGACATATTTGCAGTCGATAGCACGATGTCACGCGCCTGCTGCCCGGTGAGTCGCAACCTCTGCGTGCCGTTGTGCAGCGCGTCGTGCGCTTCCTCAAAGACCTTGTGCTCCAGCACGGCCCGTAGCTTTTCCTTGGCCGCGGCAGTCATGTTGGTGGCCGTCAGCTTCCGCAGGCGGGAAAGTTCGAAGGAAATATCTTCCAGTTTCGTGCCGGCCTTCTTCAACACTTTATTTTTCAGGGCTCCTGCCTTGCTCATCAACGCCTTGGCGGCGTTCGTGGCTCTCTCTTTCATATGCACTGCAAAAGTACCGCGCTAGTATAAATCGCATGACAAATTTCCTCAGCATGAGAAATGAAATTTGTAATGCGGATTTACCTTGGCAAAAACTAATTGTAATGCACGACTGCGATTAGTACAACGAGTGCGATACTTTTGCAATGCATATTTCAGGGTCTTGGCGGCCGACCTGGGGCTAGAAATCCAGTCCGTGGAGTTATTCGCGTCGTCAACACAAGGGGGAGTGGTGTATGCATTGCAAATGTGTCTGGGTCTGGAAACTTGTGATGCAAGAAAGGGAATAGTGAGCTCGCTATAATGCGCTGCCAAGCATGGCAAGTTTTTTCCTTGGTTCTGAGTTGCGTATTCCGCATGAGAAACTACGTTTTTGCATGACAGGGAGGAGGAGCTCTTCGCGGCCACGCAATACAGAGTTCAGAGTCATGCCACACTAGCATGACAAATCTCGCAATCTCCAAGACCCAGACAGTTTTGCATTTGATATGGTGCAGGTGCGGTTGATTGTTTCGTTTGATGTTGTTGACAACGACTCGTCGCCGTCCACCGCCTATCAAATGCAAAAATGTCTGGGCCTGGAACAAAGCAACTTGCGATGCTGCATTTGGATTCCAAAAAAAATTGTATTGCATGAATAACAAAGGGAGTGTAATTTTTGCGACGCGGTTAGGGCATTTGTCATGCGAAATAGGCATCAAGAACCCCTCGAAAAATCAGTGATGCTACGGCATGCATCACAGACATCATGGCTCACGTAAAACGTGCATGACAAGTCTCAGAATCTCCCAGACCCAGACATTTTATTTTGCATTTGATACCGCCTCCGCAGCTGCAATGATCTCGATCTCCT